CCATCATGCTGAAGCCGAAATTAATTATTGTGGTTCAAGGACATCAATCTCTGTGTGAAGGCTATCCACATCAGGCTAATGTTTATTTTCATTCATAGTAAGCACCAGAAGAGGTACTTCCCAATATCCTGGTAAGAATCTTAAATCCAGAAACACTCCTCCAGTCATCGATTAGGTTTCAATCCAATGTGTTAAAACAAAGCACACAGGATTACACTGTAAATCTGCATATGACTGGGGAACTTTTTGCTTACGTTCCCTCATTAAAAGACTTATGCACTTATGCATTAAAGCAGATTTATGTTGCCCTCGGATAGTATGGCGTAGTTAACCACATTTACAACATGCTAGCAAATGAAGGATGAAGGTTTCAGGATGTTTGGAGGGGTCATGAAGTACATTTATCACTGTTGGTTAAAACTGGGCTTGAGATAAAATGTCGTCACTGTTTACAAAGCTGATCTAATGGCTGTCTAACATGCACGAGCAAATATGCTCGCTGCTTTTTGAGGTTTGTTTATTTAATTACCTAGATAGAACAGATAGCTGCGACTGTAAATACATGAGGAGGATACAACTGCACCAAAAAAGTGCAAATGTTTTCAATGCTTTGCCTATGATAGTGTTACAGGATAATGCGCATTGCCAATTCAAGGAAAGATTATTACGCTTCGTTACACCTCATCTGCTATGTGTAACGCACGGAGGCAAATGGTGGGTTGAAGACATGCCATGCCTCATCCACTAATGGAGGTTAACAGAGATGTAATAGAGGGAGACAATGGCACTGTGTGTGTGTGTTTGCATGGCAGAGCCGGAAAGATGGAAAAGCAGTGTGTGTGTGTGTGTGTGTGCATGTCTGAGTATTTATGTAGTTGAAACTCCAGCTGTTTGTTTTAGTGTTCGTGCCTCTCTTGCTTTGACGCTCCTAACATAATGTGAAATCACACTCTGGGACACTAATATTACGCTGCTGTGGATGCAACGTATAAGAGCAAAGGGTGTAATGATGGCAGAACTTCATTCGGACACAGTTGTGTAAAGCTCTAATCATTGTGTAAATGTGTTTTATTTTTCAAAAAACTATTTAAAGAAAAATGCATACAGAACAGTGTGGTGGGGAAGCAAACGGTTGAGAATTTAGTTAGTGATTATTTGTAAAGTTTAGGTTTTTTGAAGACTGACATAAATAAAATAACTGATGTAAACATTACATGGAGTATATAAATCCAGAGTTTCTTTAACCGTTGGTCCACATCTCAGTCCTAATCTAGTACTGCAGTATTTTTTGGGTTGGTTCTGTCTGAGAAACTGGTCAAGAAAAAAACCCATCCACATTGTTTTTTTAAGGTTCAGTCCTGAGTCTGCATCTGACTTAAGTTTCTTCAGTCTAGCTGAGAAACACATATCGGGTAGAGTGAGGCTGGAGTGGCTGTAGGGTGCTAAATGACATGTCACACACACACACACACACACAATCACACACCCCTCTGACATCATTTGACATCCAATAACTCCAACCGTGGTTTGACTTTTTCTTAGAATAGTGTGTATTGTGTGTGCACGTTGATAACGGAGCATCTGGCAGTTAGACAAAGTGCTTTGGTAAAATATTAAACTGATGTGATTACTGTCCATATTGTTTATTACCCTCTGTACTGTAGGCCTATTGTGTTTTCATACACACCTGATATCATTTGATTTCCACTACGTTGTGCCATACTCCTTCTCTTGATGTATCATGTTACTCCTCCACATTTCCCACAAGTCATTTAGTTTCTGTATGAGGTGTTGTGTACAACCCATTGAAAAATCAGTAATGATCTAAATGCTGCTGTTAATATTAATGTGAATGTAATTCATTAGATATAAAAGTAACGTTTTTACTCAACCAGTCTCTATTTGTCTCTGTCCTTTGGTCCTCTTTTGTATCTCTGTTTTTCCGTGCTAAGTTTTCAAAGGAGGGAACTGAGCAGCTGTGCTCTTGCTCAGGTTGACACTCTGCCCTCAGCCTGTCACCTCTGGCCTGCTGCAAAGAGGCCCTCTCAAGTTGTCAAAAGTCCACTTAATCAGTCAGTCATCTTAAGTAAACTTGCCCACCAAAACACAATCCCCTTGTTCTTTTTCTAAAATCTTTGATGTAGATTTATGTTCAAGTGAAATCTGAGGAAGTTGCTATAAAAAGGGCCTCCATATATAGTCTCAAATCTTCTGGTCCTGAAAGCCATTTACAAATTTCCAATGTAGTGTTTGATTCTGGCACAATATACTCCTCTCTGAATGAGCCAATCTTTTGTTTAAGGAAAGTAAATTCAAGGGAAAGAATATGTTGACTAGATATCACTTTATCCTGGCCCAGCCCTTCCTGTTACAACAATAGCCATTATTAACCAGTTACAAGGCCGGTGCACCTGAGGCAGACCTGTTTATACTTATGCACGCACCTCTGTAGGTATCCCATACAAAGACCATGACATGCAATACATCTGCAGCTATGACCTCATGTCTTTGTCCAGCATAAAACCATTAATTGTCTCTATGTGCCAGCAGGGTGGAGACTGCTTTTGCAGTTTGGATTATTAACATTTTCCACATCATGAAACGTTTAAAAACCTCTGTTGTAGTTTGCTGATTACTTTTGGTTCAAACCATGGTCTGTGTCTGCTTGTGATTTTTCCATTTTCTTTATTTTTTCTTTATTTCACAGGGCAACATGCTTTTTGTTTCTTTTTGTCTTACACATCATAGTTTATAGGTCGTTATCACACTGGTTGGTGGATCATACCAATAAGACTGCTGTGGAGGGAAAGTTAGTGATCGCATATTATTTATTAAGTAAAAAGTTTGAATGCAAAATTTGCATTTTGCTCCTCTCCCCAGCAGCACCATGGATTACCTCGCTGAGCTACCATTTCACTAAAGCTAAGTGATAAGGAAACCATGTGGAATGATGTACAATAGGGTGTGTAGCTTGTGCTATTTCAGGTCGTCAGGAGGGAGGGATTTAATTTAGTCTTGAACTTTCTGGGACAGATTGGTCTCAGTGGAGCTTTAACTCTCACTCTTGTCTTCACCACACTTGTGGATAAAGGAGGTGTTAACACTAAGTATGCATTTTCACAGATATTCTACTTCTACTTATAATAAACATTTCTTTATGTTATATACACTTAATAGAATTTTTTTTTTCTTCAACTCCATGGCAAAATTGCATGTTAATGTTGTCATTTTAGAGCAGGCTCATCTGTTACTGCATAAGGCTCAAATGAAAGGCCATGTGTTCAAGTCCAGGGGCAAAACAGAAAGTGCTGAGTCACCCTGAGCCTGGAAGTGTCATTAATCAATATCCTGGCTCTGGGCTGAATGGAAACACTGCAACACATCTGGGAATACAAGGAAACACAATATTTAATGTTGCCCCATTTTTAATGTCGTGTCTGGCTGAAGTCCTGAATATTGCTGAAGATTGAGCTGAAGAGTTCACACATATTGGCTCATTGCAGTTGGTGTACTTTAACATGTGTTCAGCCCTCACGTTTCAATCAAGCTTTTCACTCAAATGACTTGACTTGTTCCATTTAACTTAATTACTTGCATAATGTCTTTGTCACTGTTGCCTGTTTTTATAATAGATTGTTTAAGAATGGACGTACCTACCATACTGCAGATTTTCAAAAGGCTAAACAGTCTGTTCTCTTGGCTAATTTATTTAGCTGGAATGAAACCTGACCACAGTTGCTAATTTTTGGAGAATAACAGTCATCAGTGTTTCCTGCAGCTCTTTCTAGGTAAGGTAGCTGCCTTACCAACAGCGCATCTTTGTCAGATCCAACAGCAGCATTGGATGCTCCATATGAATCACCCCACCAAGGTTAGGGCTGCTCATGATCAGCGGATCATTCACTGTACAAATAGATATAAACTCAGTCTGTTAAAACATATTGTACACTAGTTTTTCAAGGACTTTCACGCAGAAACGTGTTGTAAAGAGTTGGTATTTCACTGTGTATGGTTACTTTGTTTCAAACAGTCTTTTCTCTGTTTCATCTCACTGTGTCTGTATATCCCATGCAGGTATCAGCTTGTGTTTACGAGTGACAACAGTCACAAATGTTATCGTCAGTAACGTAACAGCCTGCGGTTGTCTGCAGCTTCAAACTTAGACAAACAAACTCTGTAACAGCGCAATGTGTTCTGTCTTAAAACTGAAGATATAGCCTCAAAACGCTTGTGCCTCCTTTGGGGTTTTATCTGACACACACACACACACACACACACACACACACACACACACACACACACACACACACACACACAACTGCTAAATGAACAGAGTGTGTATGTTACATGTTCTACATTGTCAAAGCTTATATAACACACAGAACATGTTTCTATAAATCACTGCAAACTTGTTATTCACAGAAATAATCATTTTTCTTTTTTGGTGAAGTTGATGTCCTGATGGGGGGGGAACAAAAACTGTTATTGAAATGATGCAGCTTTTTATATCACAGTCTGTTTTTAAAGGCACTTTCTAAAGTGCTTTCTAAATAAAAAGGGAGTTCAGATTTATATAAGTACTTGTAACACATGTTAAGAGTGTGGTTTTTTGTGTTATTTATTTTGTGTGCATGCACTTTCATTTTACTTTGATGTATACACAGATTAAGTGTGTTCCTAATTGTTTGGACAGTGGTCTTGTACATCTCTGGTGTTAGAGTGACAGGTGAATATGTTGGTCAATAACAGTACGGATTCGTTTGCACTGGCTACACAATGATTATTAACAAAACCCTCAACCAGCTAACGAGCCAGGCACTGTACGCATTGACCTGGTACTTCAATGTTCAATGTATACATGAAAATCCCCAAAAGGCATCAGCAACACAAACAATCCCCAGAGGTTAGGTTGATCTGAGCTGTATTGATGAGCTTCAATTCATTTATTTATTTTTGAAAGTTTGTCATTGATACCTTTTCTGCTTTGTCTCTCATTCCAGCGTCTTATTCTCAATATAAATCAGAGGATGGAAGAACATCTACAGCCACCCGCCCCAGCTCTGCGGGCTCCGGGCAAGCATACACTCCCACCCTGACCCCCAACACCACTCCTACCCTGACCCACACAACAACCAGCAACAGCCCCAGCAACAATACCGCCACCAAAACAGGCAAGTCTTATGGAAGTAGAGAGAAATAATGCCCTTTGTAAAGAAAAAATATAAGGTGCCTGGATCAGTTGTTCAATCTGCTATTTTACAATTGTTGTTTTTGCAGACTCCTTGCTTTTCAACAAGATTGACGAGAGACAGAGGTTAGCCCGTGAGCGCCGTGGGGAGCGTGAGAAACAGAATGGTGTGTATTTTTTTGAAACTCTCTGTGTGTGTAGACTTAATGTTAGTGTAAAAGACTTTAATTGCATGTTTCACTTTCTTCATTGTCTTCTCTCCCACATATCATGGCTGAACTTGGTTGGTAGCTGTGGTGATGTGCCTGTTTTTCAGGTTGTTACATAAAAAGTTGAGGCTGAAGCCAGGCACCCCCGTTGCCATGGCACTGATGTTACATAATAGGTCCGGCCATGGCACAGGGTTAAGGGGGGGGGGGGGGCAGTGTTTTGAATGTGGCATACCACAACAGATGGGTCTTACAGAGTTAGGGTCTGTTTGTCTTTGTATGTTTTCATCACTGAAGTGTGTTTGTGTTCATGGTATGATACAGATGTGATACCTCTGTCCCCAGCTGAGGGGCTGAGGGATTTGCTTTGTGTTGAGAGCTAAAGCCAAGTCACATGATCTACATCTGACCCATCGCACTGCTGCTTTAAGCCTGTGTGTGTTTGTGTGTGCGTGTGTGTCCATGTGGCATGTTTTTGTGCTCATGATTATTTACACTTTTTTCTTTTTGTTTTACCATGTGAGCACACACGAACACACTAATTCATGTGCATCAAGTCTTTATTATTGTATATGTTTGCGTGTGTAAAACCTTAGCTGAAAAGGAGGCCCAGTGGCAGGCACGCGAGGAGCGGGCCAGGCAGCACTATGAGAAGCACCTGGAGGAGAGGAGGAGAAAGTTGGAGGAGCAGAGGGTGAAGGAGGATAAGAGACGGGCTGCCGTCGAGGAAAAACGACGGCAGAAAATGGAGGAGGACAAGGTCTGAAACACACTGCTCTGCCTGCATAAACCTCTTTGCATTATGTGTACAAACACACACGCATGCACACCTTTATGACAACAGCGTAGTCCATATCCGTATGAACAGGCTAATAAATGTCTTTTTTCCAGTGAACCATTTACACCTTCTATGCCCCGTTTCTCCTGTCAGGTGGAGTTTGAACTTTATTGCCGGCTCCTTTCTGCTCACTTGTAAAACACATTATAGACGTCAGTGAACCAGGATACAGGATGTTTTAAAGCTGTCAATTAGAAATCTTGTGAAAGGCTTGAAGTCTTGTTTGGAAGTGAGATGAAAAGAGACTATTACAGGCTAACACTTCTTCATTATTCTGAGACACCACATGTTGAAGACTGATTTGACATCATATTTTCCTCGATGGTAAAAAAGAAGAACCTTTGACCCTCTGACCTATGGCATCAACAAGGCATTTTCGCCCAGAGAACTGATGCTCACTGGATATTTTCAGTTTTTCGGACCGTTTTCTGTAAACCTTCGAGATGGTTGTGCGTGAAAATCCTAGTAGATAAGCAGTTGCTGAAACACTCAGACCAGCCTGTCCAGCACCAACAACCATGCCACGGTCAAAGTCACGTAAATCAACTTTTTTCCCCCATTCTGGTGCTCAGTTTGAACTTCAAAAGATCGTCTTGACCATGTCTACATGCCTAAATGCATTGAGTTGCTGCCATGTGATAGGCTGATTAGGTATTTGCAATAACAAGCAGCTGAACACCTGTACCTAATAAAGTGGCCGGTTAGTGTATCTATGATGTTTGGATTTAATTATTTTCTATTGTAAATTGTATGAAGCAATCAGAGATACAGACAGGAAATGCTAGAGACAGTGGATATACAACAAAGGTTAAGGTTTTGGCATTTTGTTTATCGGTCTCCCCTCCAGTCGTTGCCTTGGAAACTGACTGGTTCTGAGCTGGTGTTGATGTGGTCACATGGCTTCCCATTAGTCTTTTAACTTTGCCATCTGTAAACATTTTAGAAAGGTATACTTCCACTGGGTGTTAATGGTTTTTGTAAAGAAAACATTCTTCACTTTTTGCCACCACAAATTTTCAATACAATTTTAGATACGGAAATAGGTTTTTTATTTCATATTTTGAATGCTTTTCAATCACTGTTCTGATTTTATCTGTAAGTTGTTTCCAGACTGTAGACTAAACAAAACACATTTGGCTGCACGTTTCCATTCAGACAGAAACTTGCCTCAGTCCTGCAGCCGTAGTTCACGATCATTGTTTTTTTAATGCTGATAATGTGACAATGACTGACGCTGCTTTTTGTGACTGAAGGTTCGTCATGAGGCGGTGATTCGTCGGACGCTGGAGAGGAGCCAGAGAACCAAACAGAAGACCAACCGATGGTCTTGGGGAGGGACACTGCACCCAAACATTACCAGCACACCAGCCGGTACTTTCACACACCTACACACCTACACAAACTACCTGCAGACACACATCACTCTTAAACAGTCATTACAGTATGGTCAGACACACTGTATGGCCTTACATTCTTAAATCTGTTGTACCTTTGAATCACTTTTCCTCGTTAGTATACAAGAGCTTTCAGGTGTATTAAAAACTATTGATATCTCATCTCCCTGATGTCTGACAGAGTGTCTCTTGTGTAAATATGTCTGCCTGCCTCTGCGTGTCAGTATTGTTCTGCCATGTTTGCATTTGAACTTTTCAGATCCCCATTCCCTCTGTTGTTACTGCTGACTCACACCCTGCTCTGCCTCTCCCTCTCTCTCTCCCTCTCTCTCTCGCTCCCTTATTCTCGCACACTTTACCTCTTTCTCTCTCTCTCTCTCTCTCTCTCTCTCTCTCTCTCTCTCTCTTTACCCCTGGATCTTCCTCTTACTCCTCTCTGCTCTTTGTTTCTCTGTCATTGCCCCCCCCCCCCCCTTCCTGGTCCAGGTTTTGTCGAGTCGATTTTCCTCTGTCCACTCGATCTTGCTGGACTGGAGCACATGCAGGGTGCATTTAGTCTCTACCGCAGATACGGAATGACCTCTCAATGTGAATATAATAAAACTGTGTCAATTAGCCAGCCAGTGTTAGACCACTGGTTCTAGCATTGTACATGTACGGCACCTTTATAGCTCACTGGCATTAGTTTGGATGTAGGCCAATGTGGAAGGCATGATTAGTGTTTCATGTAGCAATCCAGTCTGTAACTCAAACTTATATCCCAAGATACAGGACCATTCTTTCAAACCATATTAGCTTCATTTAGCACTAATTCATCTTCTCAGCATTATTGTTCCCTCTAGCATCATGTTGGTAGTTTCTCTAACCTGGTTTAACCAAAATAGAGTAGAGTAGCCCTGACAGAAGAGAGTGCTTCCTCCAGCCATTCCACCTGTTCAATGAAAACATTGATTTTCTTTTCTCATGTTTCTTCTGTGTTTCTAGATGCTGACAGGCGGTCGGTGTCCACAATGAATTTATCCAAACACACGGACCCTGTCATTTCCAAACGTCTCTCCTCCTCCTCTGCCACACTTATTCACTCTCCAGACAGAGGTAATAAAAAAAATATATAATATGACACATAAACACCAAAATGATTCATTACAGAATCATTCTGCTGTGACTTTGTTTGCATGACATTTGTGTTTGTTGTAAGCTGAACTGCTGTCACAGTCTTATGACTCTTTGGTGTTTTCTTTTATTTACTCTGTGGGATTTTGGAAGCACTATGACAATAATGTAGACATAATACAGTATTTTATGTAGAAAATAAAACTGCTTAAATATGTTGAGAAATGTTCGATTAAACATTATTTATGTATGAGTACAATGGAACCAGCTCACGATAAGCTTAACTTAACCTAGCATAAAAACTAAAAACAGAGAAACATCTCTACCAGATCATTTTCTATCCAAAAAGCATATCATTGACAACTTGTGGTTTTGCATTCTTGTCAGTAAGGGTGAGACAAAATATTGATACAGCCATATAATATCTCCCTGACATGTGCGATACAACTACTGCATCCCAATATTGACATTTTATTGTTAAACTGGGAGCTCTGAATAAATTCCTCTGTCAGTTTGATTCACCGTCACTACGTCCTCATGGTGGTGTTTATGATATAAATGACACTAATGTGAACACTCTGAAATTAGCCAAAGGAGAAGTTGACAGCAGAATAAAAGAAGAATGAGACAGTGGGATCATTGCTGACAGCGGTGATAAAGAGTTAGAGGATGAAGCCTGACAAGAAGTGAAACTGACACCAAATTGCTGTTAATAGATTTCAATTTCAATTCAATTTATTTTGTATAGCGTCAACTCATAACAAGTGTTATCTCAAGACATTTTACAAAAAGCAGGTAGAAGACCTTACTCTTTGTCTGTTAACATTACAAAAGAGCAGGTAAAAAGACCTTACTCATTGTTATGTTACAAAAAGCAGGTAAAAGACCTTACTTATTGTTATATTACAAAGACCCGGCCTATCCATCATGAGCACTTTAGCAAAGCAGCAAAAGTTACAGTGGTAAGAAAAAACTGCCATATTAAAAGGCAGAAATCTTCGGCCGGATCCCCGGCTCATGACGAAACAGCCTTAACAGGCCTAGACAGATGATTGCATTATATCAATTATTGCAGAATTGCTGTATCATGGTATAATAATTATCAAGGGGCCACATATTTTGATCAGATTTCATAGCGTATTGTATTGTATTGTATCGTATCGTATCATGATTTAGCCCCTGCTTGTAGGGAGGATTTCAAGCAGATGAGAATTTAGTCACTGTTGTCCAGCCAAGAAATGGTCCAGCACATAACCTTATAGAATCCTGAACTTGTCACTTAAAATCCAGTACTCGTCACTTTTGCAACCTGCAAATTGGTTTACTTTATTTATTTTGGACTGGACTAAACAAGGTTTATTTAAGTCTATATGCTAAGCTAATCAAAAGGCTGCTACCTGTATTTTCATATTCCTAGAGATATGGGAGTAGTATTCATCTTCTCATCCAACTCTCAGCAAGAAATCAAATAAGCATGAATCTAAGACTTTCCAAGTTGTTATTAGAGTACGTTAAGTATTTCAATGCTCGTTTATTGCTAATTTGATTCTTCATTCTTTGATGTTTATATGTTGCTGACAGGCTTACACATGAGAACAGCCTCCTCTCCAGTTATTAGCAAAGCTCAGTCCAAGCCCCGCCTACACCATGGGAAGACGCCCCAGCATAAAAACACAGGTGTCTTATGGGAATTTCTTGCAGTTTGGTCCCTCATTTTATTTGTTAGACACACTGCTGCAAAGCAACAAAAATGTATGGGCTGGAAACTGTTGAGGAATTACAAAACAATGACCCTTTTTACTGTCATGTAAATGGAGAAAACATTGGTAGTCCTTTGAATGACTTTTGTGTAGCTGTACGATACTAGCTTTGAACCTGGACAAAATCCATTTGACAATATTATGTCTGACTCGAGAATTTAAACTGCATACTTTCGAGAAGTATGTGTTAATTGTATTTACAATATGAAGGTAAAATCCAATAACCACATGGCCAATAACATGTATCTACAGTGTGTGTGTCTGCACTTCTGTGTGTTTCAGTGGAGGGATCAAGATATTTCCCCCCCCCTCTAGCGTGACCCCTTTCTCTAATCCTCTGTTGGATAATCTTTTTGTTTTTGTGGGAACACTTGTGCTGTTTTATCCCAGCTGAAAATTCAACACCCACATTTCAACAAACAGAAGTACGCATTATTATGGACATACAATTATACTGTTACTAGTTTTAGGCTGCCAAGACAAACTGTAAAAGGACATTGTTGTGTAGCATCAACTAAAAAAATTGTGTTTTCTTAAAAAAAGTAGTTAAGGTAAGAGACTCTGCTTCCTTTGCACAGTTTCCAGCCCAGTTGTATCGCACTCTGAAACTTGCAACCTTGTACTCTACTTTTTTTATCAGAGCAAGCAATGCTGCATGTTTTGCCTGATAAGGAGTTGTTTGGCTCCTTTGTGTGAAGATTCATTAATTGATGCATTTTCCACTCATGGTCAATAAGCGACAAATCAATCCCTATATGCCAACATCCTTACCAAGGTACCAAGACTATGCATGGCCAAGTATTAAAACTTTGAAACAAAAACGTGTTGAATAATTTAGTGTATTAATTTCTAAATTTCTTAAAGCAAGCTTAAATGAATTTTTTCTTGAAATCTCCCTTGTTCTTCTTGTTTGAATGCTGCCTTGCCTGTGTTTGCTCTGGGTTTGCGCTTCTCTCCAGGCTGTTTGCTCCCTCTCATAATTAGCAAACTCTTGCATGCAGGTGTAGGTGTGACAGGGCAGCTTGTGCATGTTAACAACTTTACCTTAGCTGTGGCCCACTCTGCTGTCAAGTGCGAGGGAAGGGAAGGCATAAAACAAACACAGTAATTATGCATCATTTTTAATCTGCTTTGACTGATTGCTTTGGCTAATCAGTGGGCTGTTAATCGTTTTAGTCGTTATGAAACCTCAAGTTTGTGTGTGTGTGTCCAGGCCTCCGCCGTCTTCCTTTGACGACATGGGAGAGCAATGTGGTGAACCGCCTGCAGCAGCCAACACACTCCTACTTGGCTCGTAGCCGCAGTGCCATGAGTCTGTCTGGAGAGCAAACAGGTAATATACACACGTCCCACATGAAAGACACCACCTGGGTCTCATGGTCAGAAGCATATGAGACAGAGGTCGCTTTCAAGCGTACACGAAACTGTGAATCCCAAGTAGAAGTACTAAAAGTATTTATATTTTGGTCTCTTGGACCAGTTGGAACAGTTTTGGATGTTAATCAGATTTGGCCAGACTTAAAGCATTACACCGTCTGAAACTTCCCATCACCAGTCTGTGTCAGGCACCCAAAGCTCATACACACACACACACACACACACACACACACACACACACACACACACACACACACACACACACACACACACACACACACACACACACACACACACACACACACACACACACACACACACACACAGGTCCAAGGGAGTAAGCTGTGTTTAGGAACAGTGGTGAAGTGCACAATGATGGTCCCTTTACACAGGCATCATCTAAAGATTTACAGTATATCAACCATCCCCACATGGCCTCTGTTTCCTTCAGACGTCACTCTTAGGACGGGGATACGGTTCCCCTTGACATGTATTCCTATAACAAATATTACGCAGTGTTTGTTGAAGTGCCTCATGCATTTTAAAATCCTACTATGTTAGGATGACAAACACAAGAACTCGCTCACACTGACCCACACAGAACACACAGTGTCTTCTTTTGCTTTCCTCTCGTCACACTTTCTAAGTAACATTTTCTATAGCTTGTGTGGCGTTTGCAATTCTTGCTTGTGTTTTGTGTATTTTGCTGCCTATTCACCTTTGCTATTTGATGTTGGGTCATAGTTTGTCTAACAAAGTAGAAATGCTTCCAACACTGGGACTTTTTTAAACAAGGGTTATTGTCCACCATTGTTTTCTATCATAAAGAGCCCTTCTAAACCCTTTTTCTTAATAGCACAACATAGATTTCTTGAAGATGGTTGGGGAATGTTAGCACTTGAGCTTTCAGTGGCACTAACAGCTTCTTTCTCTTCTTTCTGTTTCCACCATCTTTTCATTTCTCTCCAACCTCTATCGGTCTTCCTAAACTCACCTCCTCCATTTCCTTATTTTAACACCTCCTCTTCACTCCTTCCTCTCCTTTCCGTCCTCTCTCTCGCTTTGTGCTCCTGTTCATCAAACCCCTGCTGGTGTTTCATAAATCCTCACACTGCCCGGATCCTTACTTTCCTGAAAACACTCCCACCTCATGCATCACCGTAGCCATGCCTGTGTGTCCTCGCTCAGTGTCCTGCCACCCCATGGGCTCCATGTCCTTCAAGGCCCTGCAGGCCCAGCCTCTTCCTCACTGCCGCAGCCATGACAGGAGCCTCAGCAGGGAGACAGCCTCGTCCTCCTCCAAGACAATTCGCAGGAGGACCACCGGCACCACACAGGTGTGTCATGCCATATCACCTTTTTTAAAATTCATGTTTAGATTATACAATAATCAACTCTTTTTTTATCATACTATAATCTACTTTTATTTTCTTCTGATTTTCTGGTCTGAGTGGCTCATACTCATAAGTGATTCATTTCATTTGACTCCTCCTGCTGATTATCTTTCTCATGTTGATGTTGTTGTTGTCCCAGATCAGTCAGGCACAATACATCAGAGTATCTGTGCAGTTCTGCTCCACACACACACACACACACACACACACACACACTGGCACACACACACTGTTCCCACTGTCCATCTGTCTGCTAACAAAGTGTCACAGCTTAAACCATTAAGGTCTTAGAAGGACGTAGTTTATAAACTGAGAGTCCGACCTGCATAGGCAGCAGCACATGTGTACAAACACATAAATAATCATTATATTGTTATTGTAGCGTTCACACATGACTACATGTACAGAAAATGTTCAAATGCCTCGACAGTTGTCAAAGTTTTAATTGTATTGTTGGTGTCGAGATTTGGTGCCAGAGGTTATGTACTGCCTCAGGAAGGCTGTCTGAGTCTAATCCTGTTTCTGATCATGTTCTTCATCTGTCAGTAGGGCACCTGGGTCTTGGTGCCTCCTTTGACCCCTGTGTGTGTTGCTAAGGACATGTTTGTGTAGAATTCATATATTAAACTACTAAAAGAGACCTTTTGCTGCTGGCTTACGTGCTCGTTATCAATACTGACGTTTCATTATTTCCCTCCATCTCACCCTACAATAGCAGAAGGACCGTGACCATGTCAGGAAGTCATGGAGCAACCTGTCACTCCCACTGGCTCCCATTCTGAGTCTCCCCCCCAACAAGCGCTCCTCTTCTCTAGGCAAGAAGACCAGCAGAGTAGCACCCTCTTCTGGCAGGTAGGAGAACACACCCATTAAAAGTCAAAATTAGGTACATAAACTGATGTAAAACAGATTGGAGTTATGGATTACAGTCAGGTGAAAGAGGGTGTGGCAGCTTTGACAGGTTTTGGTATATTAGGATGGCTGATTAGTATAGGTAAACTAACTTCCATTAAAACAGTTTTTATTGCCAATAAAAGTAACATATATAATACAGACAAACTTGATCATAGTTTTGACGCTTCTATGTTGCAAAATGCTTCATTCTTTTTGCACATAGGCAACTTCAAAAATCAGCAGAGCGACCCCCAACCCCCAAGCTGCTCAAGTCTCCTGGGCCAGAGGACCCTGGAAACTTGCGTCCTTTTAGGACCACACCTGAGAATCCCCATTCCACCAGAGAGCAAGAAGAAGAAGAAGAAGAAGAGGAGGAGGAAGAGCAGGTCCTTAGTCCTCTTCAGCCTCGACCTCAGCCTCTGGGTCAGAACAAGAGCAGCAGTGAGCAATCACCACCACCAGCCAGGGGTCAGAAACTTCAGCCAAACCCTCCATTTACACAATCACATATTATTCATACCTTTTTTTTGTCACTATATAAGATACATTGGTAAAGTTTAATGTCGTGCCTTGTCTTAACCTTTCAGAGAGTTTAAGCAGTCCTCCAGCTCACAGGCCCTCTGCAGGCACCACAGATCCAGAGGAGGCGAGTCGTATCCTGGCTGAGAATCGTCGGCTGGCCAGAGAGCAGAGGGAGAGAGAGGAAGAGGAGCGCAAGCAACAGGAGGAGCAGGCCAGGTACTCAGTGATCTCTGGAAATATACATGTGATCTAACAAGTGTATGGAGGTGAGTTTCACCATGCATGTGTACATCTGCATCCTTGGCTGTGACTCTTTCTGTGCAGGTTAGCGAGAGAGGAGATGGCTCGCCGTAAAGCTGAGGAGAGAGCAAAGAGAGAGGAGGAGGCTCAGCGTCAGGCCGAGGAGATGAGAAGGAAGGAAGAGGAGGGGAGAAAGATGGAGGAAGAGAGACTTGAGAAAGACAGAGAGGAGGCAGAGAAACTTCAGAAACAGGTCAGGAAAAGTAAACTAGTAGAACCAGCCCAGAAGTTTGTACATCTGAAAGGAAACCAACTGTGTGTTTGTGTGTGTGTGTGTGTGTGTTTGTGTGTTAGAAAGAGGAGGAAGAGTCTCGACAGAGAGAGGAGGCAGAGCGAATGAGGCAGGAGAGAGAGAAACACTTCCAGAAAGAGGAGGCAGAACGACTGGAGAGAAAAAAGGTGACGCATATTCTCACACACGTGAAATATTTTAATATTATTTCTCAAGTACAGTGCATTTAAAAAATATGTTTTTTTTATTTACAAGCGTCTGGAGGAATCATGAAGAGAACAAGGCGTTCAGACACAGCGGAGAAGGTAACAGCTTCCTGTTGGATAAATGAGCAAGTATGTGTTTAACCATGAAGTTGTTCTATGGATCATGAATAATCATTTTACACTTTTCCATCTTTAGAGGGTTGTTCCTAGGAATGGTGACAATGCAGGTAACTTAATCTATCTTGTGAACATAATTTGAACATTTTGAAGAATAAAAGTTTGGAAAAGTATCCTCTGTATGTTCTCTCTAATCAGTGACCCCCGCCAGTCCAGGCCCTTCTACTTTGACTGTGTCGCCAGCACTCAGCAGCAACGGTCAGGAAGCTGACCCAAGCCCAAAGACCACCCCATTAAGCCAATCTGACCAGGGGTAAATGCCAAGGACATCGTCTCATTAATATCTGATGTTTGTCCGTATTAACAGTAACATTTCTAATAAATTCTTTGTCTTTTTTTTTTTTACAGAGAGAACGGAGAGTTTGAAGAGGTTATTGTACTGCCTTCACATTCCAGGTTGTCTCCTCCTGAGGGAGAGGAGCAGCAGCAGCAACAGGAGGAGGAGAGACTTCCTGTCATAGCCTTCAGGGAGAACGGTCTCCTAAAACCTCTGAGCGGAGTGGAGGATATATCAGCCCAGCAGGGACCAGGTCAGTATCATTTTTCTGAAGTTCCCGGGCTTCTTTCATTTGTCAACCTAATCACTTGATTTCTTGTAGTTTCAGAGTGAATAGCTCTTAGATGTAGGAATATATTGTAACATAGTCAGTCTGAAACCAAATGTTAAATCATGTGAAATTCCTCCCTTTAATAATATTTGCTAGAATTGTAATTTTTAGTTTTTATGTTTCAAATCACTTCCTTCAGTTCAATAACTTCAAAGAGGCTGACTGAATCAAACATAGTCCTTAAAAACTGCTACGGTTTGTGTCCGAACTGTGGCTCTTCTACTCTTTTCATTCTCTCCCTGACTTCCAACTATTTCCACTATCCTATCTAAAATAAAGGGACAAAAAGCTGTTGCTTCCAGCAATTTCATGAAGGAAGAGATTTTCTTTAGCATTCTGATCAGGAATTGTCTTATAGAATTCAACGTTTTCTTTGCATAGTTTTTTTTTTTTTTTAGATGTTTTCTTGTAACCTTGGTTTTCAGATGTTGCTTGAGGCCCTTTCAGGACGAGATGATTCCGCACCCAGAGAGACAGGAAGTGAGGCGGCAAGAGAGGTAACAGACCTGTTGAATCAAAAGGAGGGACTTGTAGCATCGCAGTCGGATCCTTCTAGAGGTTTACCTTCTCACCCTCCTGTGACAGAAGAGCACCGCAGCCATTTCCCAAAGAAGCTGTCTCCAAAGCGTCTCCAGAGAGAAGAGTCCCTTTAAGCATCTCCAGAGAGAACTTTGTTATTCCTCTTCAAACTCTGAGGAGTTTGTCACAAGATGGCGCCATGCCATCTTGTGACTCTTTAGATGTGTGTTTGTGTGTGTGTGCGTGCGCATGTCTGAGTGAATGAGAGACAAATAATAATGTAACTTGAGATCAGCTGTTAAGTCTTCAGACATGATACTTGAAGAGATTATTTTGGCGCTGTAGAACTGTAACACATTCACAAAATCAGCAATGTGACATAATAACTGGTACTCGCACATCAGGTTCAGAGTTACAGGTTTCATGCTCTCTGACTGGAACCTCATAGTTCTTTTGTTTCAACATTTCTATTGAAATGCATCAGGTGAGATGATATGAGTGCATGAAGTTTATCTGGACTACATAAAAGTATAATGTAATATATTTGGATGAGTGTGGCAGGGGTGACAGAGCATGAAGTTTAATTTAAATTATGACAAAATGAAAAACATTGTTCTCAGAGAAATGGGGTGTAAACTACTGATTCTTTTACTTTTGTTTAATTGCTGTACAGATAAATTGATTCTTTGTTTTGTCCGCGGGCTGTCTTCACTTTTTGTTTTAACTGAAAGTAAAAACTGCTTTGACTTTAAGTAATGCCCTTTAATTTGTTTACCCCTTACATTTCCCTAATGCTGCATCATGTCACAGTTATCTGAAAAGTGTTGGAAGTTAACTTTTCTTTTGGCCAGGAGAGTAAATTTGCTGGTGGTGTTAATTCTGTCATAATCTGGGTCATTTGATCTATTCAATGAAGGACACAATAAAAAAAAAAAAAGCTGCTACTGTGATGTTTTTTTGCCTTACAGCATCATAGAAAGACTGAGCCATGAAGATATGCATTCCCAGTGTGAGCTTTGGCATATTTGCTAGTGGCTTCCTTTCCTTATTTATTTAAAAGTTTTTAAAAGCATCACTGTCTATAATATTGGAGCAATAATGTTAAGAATTCAAAATTCATACAGGGATTTAACTGGATAAACCATTGCACTCCTGTGATCTTCACATGCATCTTTGTCATCTCCAAATAATGCTGCTCTCTTTGCGTTTTTTCCAGGAACCTTTTGCATTTATTTTATTTTCAAGTCTTGCAGTTGCACCACGTAGAAGGAAACTTCAGAAATATTACCCATGTTTGTCTTAAGGGCCTGTTTCTGTCAATAGTGCACAGCATGCTGTTATCAACGTGCTAACTTGACTGAGTTTGTTAAAAGAACTTTAACAGAAGCTAAATCGATTGTAAAAAATGATACTTAGATATTCTATGAATTATATGTAAAAGTTGATATATTTTACTAAGACTGACCACTAGTCTTTGAAAAGTAATAATCCCTTTACTTCAGAGGGTCTGTGGGATGAAATCTTTGATTAACTGTCAAACTGAAATTACTGAAAAACAGTTGCAGCAGTACGCTTGGGCCAGAAAATAAAACCTTTTGACTTGACTATCCTTTACTGATGTGGTATTTCTATTGATTGTTTTTCTTTTTTGATACACTAAACACAAACATGGGCATATAAAACAAGTGCACACTTTAAAACATGTTATTTTGTAGATTTATTTAGAATAAACCAACAACTCCTCAAAACACACAGTATCAACTTATTTAAAACTTCTTTTTTTTTTTACAGAGAGGATTGTGCTAGTTTGGAAAGTCAGACAGAAAATATTTACATTTGATAAGAATAATGGATTTGAACAGCTACATGTAAGTGTTTTTCACTGAGGAGGAGAGAGGTACATGTTGAGATTGTTTTTTTTTTTTTGTCACAAACAACTTGTGGCAAGTTGATGACGCTCACATCATGTACAAAGCCAGGATGTTGTCCCACAGTACTCAACTTCCAGTGTTTACCGCTTCAGCAACAAACAGCCACATAGTCTTTTGACCCCGACATTTTTTTTTACGGAATAAGACTGTTCAAGTTTCACCAGTAGAAAGTTTTGGTGAGGAAACCGGCGGCAGCATTGAGCCAGCTTCCACTAGAATCTTCCTTAGCTGTGGTGCGGGAAATTGCTCGGTTGACTTCCTTCTCTGGACTGTCCTCTTCCTCTGGGAGGTAGTCTGGGAGAGCAGAGTTCTGCTGCACCTTGACTCCAGATGAGTTCAGAGGGATTAAAACCTGAAGAAGACAGTTTGAGAGGAAAGATGTTTATTTTGGATATTCTAATGAGTATAGCTTTCCACACAGTTGAAAACACCAACCTCATCTCCTGCTTCGTTCTTCACCACCTGTTGAGCTGACAACACCTTAGTGTCAGCAATGGCTGATGCCAGACTCTGAAAATTAAAAAGAATGAGAGGGATTAGTGACTGGCACATCAGCGGCCTTGGCATTTCAATTACATTGATTGCAACTACAAGTAGAAAAATTAAAGAGGTCAGTTGCATCGAAGGTACTGACAGTAAAATGTTTCTGTGTGTTACCTCAGTTGACAGGTCTGAACGGATGCGGATGGTGCATCTCTTGGAAGCCATCTGAAAGGTGAAACTGATCACACCTCTGACTTTCAGGAGAGCCTCTTCACACAAGCCCCGATGGTCCTTCATAATTCAGAGATACTGTTTAATTACTGCATATAGTTACAAACAGTGATGTCAACCAATAAATATGAGTATGGTTTTAATGAGACTACTCACAGTGCTGTCCAGCCCCTGGATGTGCAGAGTGACAGACTTCGCTTTCTTGTTCGAGGAGTTGATAAAGAACTGGGATTTCTTTTTCTTTTCCCTCTCGGGTGTGCGTGGCACAGGAAGGGAGGAGCACTCAGAATGTCAAACACTTCTTGGGCCAAGGCTGTGATGTCAACAGAAAGGCCGTCCCTATAAGGAGAGATTATTTTATTTATTTTAGAAGAATGGTAACACATCTCAGAGTTGTTAAGTGTTTTAAATGACCAAAGTGATGATTCAGTCTGATTATCAGTTTTTATGAAATACTGTTTAATGACTGGTTATCTATTTGTGTGTATACACATCACTATTTTGCTTTCCATCAACTGTTTTGTTTAATTCAAATGTAAAAAAAAAAAGAAGACATTTCAATTAACACTTCATGAAATTATTTGGAAATTATTTTTCAACCACTAACACATTATTTAAACTTATTATTACACAGATCAGGAAAACCTCAGTGCACAACAACAGGAAGACAAACATCCCCTCACCTCCCAGTTAGATTCTCCAAGCTCACCATCATACCCAGTTCATTCTTCATGGTGGCAATATTGCGAGACAGCTCGGCCAAGTAGCGCAAGGTCTGAGAACAAAGAGAGAGGCAGAAAGATGGGATTACATTTGACTATTTTGTGCAACTGCAAACACGTACACACAGCGTTCCAAAATCTTTAAACAGGAAAATAACATGCAATAGGTATAGTTCACATTTCTCAGAGTGGCTATCACTAAATGTATGAATTTTCTGACACTAATAAAACAAGCTTGGTATAAATTATAATCACATTTAACATGCAGATAAATTGCTCCCACATACATATGGTTGTTGGAATGTTATTAGTGAAGAGGGACTTCTTCTGTTATTTGCATACAGCATTTAACCTTCAATAAAGCGCTTTTCTTTAAAAAGGTAAAACAACCCACGAGTCTTGGAAATTACTTGTCAAAGGAGTTTACATAATGGAAAAGATAACTTTCAACATAAGACTTCAAAATGCAAAATTCCTTGACAGATGGTTTCCATGGCAACACGTGATGGAGGATATTTAGACACAGGTTGGCAAGGGGACAATGTGGTGATATCTTCATTTAATAAAATACATAATGAAGAGGGGGATGTACGTAAACATTATTTTGGTTGCAAAAAACTGAATCATGGTGATCATTGGTGATGTGTGTGTCACATTTTTGTTTTGGATTTGTGTGTGTGGGTTTTTTATTATTATTATTATTATTATTATTATTATTATTATTATTTTATGTGGGTTGCCTGTTTTTTGTTGTTATATTTTTCAGATATAATAAATAAAAAATAAAAAAACAAATAAATGAATGCAAAAAAAAAGGTAAAACAAATCAAATGTAAAATAAAAAAAGCTTGTATTCATTCATCTTTTCAAGAAATGTAATCCAAAAATGCCTACAAGACATCATGAAAGTACAGAGGCCTTGCACTTAATATGAAGTATCTTTCACTTGCAGTAAATAGAGAAGACAGACCTTCAAAAAACACAGTACGCTCCTTTAATGTGTATTTAATGAAGCACACCAACTTATCAGTCACCTACCTGAAGCGTTGCAAGCAGCACCTCTGGGTTCTGGTGGTCTAAGAAGAGAACCAGCCCGGGGAGACAGCCCTGATCCTGGACTATCACCTCTCGGTTCTGCGGCTCAGAAGCCAGGTCCCGCAGCTGACTGACCACCGACAGTGCATCCATCATATTTGAGAACTTATCCAGACCTGAAAGAGTTAGAAAGAAGACGACATTTGTATCGTTTAAAAACTTTAAAACTAAACAGTCGTCAGGGCAAACCTCAGCGCTGCTAGCTGAACGAGCTAACGTTAGCTTTATTTAAATGTGAAGAAGTTGTCCACTCTCACACAAAATAGACTTACACCATCTTTACTTTCAAAGGTCAAACGACATACAATTTCGTGTTTTACGACTAACCTTTCAAAAAAATGTATTGAAAAGGCGCTACATACGGGTAAATACGTCGTTTTCTTACCAAGTAATAGAAAGCAACTCGTGTATCAAAATGATCAAAATACAAAACTTGGTGCTGGGATTTCCTCACACACTATTGGTCGAGCAGACGCTGCCGACGCTGCACGGCCGCTAACTCCTATTGGCTGTTCATACTAGCCGTGTATCTTCAGCCAATCAGAGGAGGTTTTGCTGCTGCGGCTTTATTTGATTCACGGACTAGAGTGCTGCCTGGATGATCGAGCCAGATGCAAGCTGCAACTTCCTTTTATTTGTCTGCTGTTAAGAGTTTTTAAAACTGAACGTAGTTTAAATACCGTAACGAATGTTGTTGTAGATTCTCGTTTTTGACAAGCATACGAATCCACGGTAAGTCATTTACACGCATATTCCCGCTTTACCCCGCATGTTTCCTGGCGTCGCAGAGTGTACTTTTGATGAGCCGTGCAGTTTTACACACACTGCGGTGCACTGCTCACAACAAGGTTAGTTTTAGGTCGAAACAAACAAAAAATCCTCTAGACACTTGCTTCCAAGTCGCTGAAACTTAATATAACATCAGTAAAAGAGACAGCTTCCTGTCCGAGCCTCAGTTTGTGATGCCACCAGGTGACACTGTTACAAATTGTATCAAAATGGACCCCAGGAAGTCTGATCAATGATTGTTTGGCTTTTGAGATCTAGACGAGGATTATTCAAAACGAATACTTTCACGCCTTAAAACCCAAACACATTTCTGAACATTCAATGCAATAATGGTTGTTTCTGTGTTTGCTGTTTCATTTTCATTTTCAAGGAGATGTATACTATGTTAAGTATTTACAGTTCTTAATGGCTACATGTCTCCTGTGCTACAAAACAATGTAGTTTTAATCAGTATTATCAATTTACTGTAAAGATAGGCGATTGGATGTATAGGGAAGACAACTTTAATTTAAATGACTTTCAACAACAACGCCATTAAAAGTGTTCAAATGAAACATTGCATAAAGATAAAGAAAAGCTGTATTGATCCCCCATGGGGACGTTTTTGCGTTACAGCAGCTCAAGAAAACAGGAGACGGGAATATCATTATTAAAAATCAAACATTTTACATCAGTTAAATAAAAAAAAATACAATAATGGAAAATGACACAGTAACTACACTGGAAAGAGTTATTGAAGAGTGAGAAGAAGTTATAGAAACGTACTCCTGCTCTTTCATGTTCAGCACATAAGACCCTTCTTTTAGTTTAGTCATTACAGTCTCCAGTTCTCTTTAATCAAACAGAAGTATTCTTCAGTACCCAATAAGCTTTTCTAAAGTACTAAGAACTGGACTGAGCTGCCGTCCATCCATCCAGGTTTTAAGTAATAAATGGAGACTTCGTTTACATACGGTATAGCCTAAACAAAACCCGACTTTCAGTTGTTCTTCCTTACAATGCAGGCTGTTATGTGTTTATGTTTTATTTTTGCTTCATTTCAGGTGTAAAGTATGTGACTTGATTGCCTCAATTCTGTGTTGGCGTCTTATCGAGTCAGTCAGCAGGAAGAGCAGTTTTGCAGTCATCAGCTGGTGAATGAAAAAGAAAACCCTTCGATGTCTTTAGTAGAAGATATTGTGCATGTGCTGCACATTGTCCTGGATTACTTTGGAGTGCATCCAGACATGGTGACTACAGAAACACACATACACACATCTGACTCATTCTTACAGTCATGGTTCCATTAAGTAACATCAGTGAATTTGTATAAAATGCACATTTTCAACCCAGACTTCTGTGTGTGTGTGTGTG